CCTTCTTAGGTAGGTTTATTCCTAGGTATTTTATTCTTTTTGTTGTGATGGTAAATGGGATTGTTTCTTTAATTTCTCTTTCTGATCTTTCATTGTTAGTGTATAGGAATGCAAGAGATTTCTGTGCATTCGTTTTGTATCCTGCAACCTTACCAAATTCATTGATTAGTTCTAGCAGTTTTCTGGTGACATCTTTAGGATTTTCTATGTATAGAATCATGTCACTGGCAAACAGTGACTGTTTTACTTCTTCTTTTCCAATTTGTATTCCTTTTATTTCTTTTTCTTCTCTGATTGCTTTGGCTAGGACTTCCAATACTATGTGGAATAATAGTGGCAAGAGTGGATATCCTTGTCCTGTTCCTGATCTTAGAGGAAATGCCTTCAGTTTGTCACCATTGAGAATGATGTTTGCTGTGGGTTTGTCATATATGGCTTATTATGTTGAGATAGGTTCCGTCTATGCCTACTTTCTGGAGAGTTTTTATCATAAATGGGTGTTGAATTTTGTCAAAAGCTTTTTCTGCATCTATTGAGATGACCATATGGTTTTTATTCTTTTTTCTTAAAGCCTCTTTATCAGTGTTCTCCCTTTCCTTCAAGGCAGTTTGTTACATTGTTAACTAAGGCTTATAGCTTTTGTCTTCTGTTATAATTTTTAACCAAGATCAAATTAGTGAATATCAAACTTATATATTTCTGATTTCAATGTTATTATTTTATGAATGAATTATTTTAATATTTCACCTTGAGTATAGTCATTAATTAGGTTTCTTGTGAATATTTGAAACTTTTTCCTGCCTTTAGAAATGTCATCTATCCATAGAAGCATAGATGCTCACTAAGAGTTAAAAATTTGCATCAGATGGTGGGTTTGGGGTGCTCATTGTACTATTTTTTTTATGCTTTCCTGTGTATTTGAACATTTTCATAATAAGAAGCTGGAAAAAATCAGATATATTTATATAATTATAATAGACATCTAAGAATGCTTCAGAAATGATCAAAGAAGAGAGGGAGCTGGCCATTGGAAGGGACACAGTGGCTGTTTGAATTATAAGCAGACAGTTGTTACCCTCTGTTGTTTTTCCTCATGGAGAGTGGAAATGCTCTGGTGTGTGACAGGAAATATTTAGATTGGGTAGTAGAGGGAATGGCCTTCTGTAGGAGACCATGCAGCTGCTTCCCCTTGCTTGTCTTTAAGAGCTCCATAGATACTCTCTGTGTCACATGGTGGAGGTGAGGCGGCTGTCCCTTTGGTTGGAGAGAGAAGACAGTTGAATCGTTTCTCAAACAGACCCAGGGGCAACTGTAACTCACATAACTGTATAGGGTTAGCCAGGACGGTGTCCAGTGCCCTGAAAACAGCAAGGGTGTAGATCAGGTTCTGCCTACAGTAGTAGACCTGCTGAGCTCCACAGATTCCCTCTGTGGATTAGCCTCTGCCGTGTATCTCACCCAGAGCAGTTCCATCAGAACTCTAAGTACAAGCCAGGGAGGGGCCCTGGAGTTCACAGAGCCCAGCTCTTTACTCTTCTGGGAATGAAGAGTTCATACCAACCAGGCACTTGACAAAAGTATGGGATTTTCCAAGAGAAACAATCCTTATGACATTGGTCAGGCAAATTTCCCTGACAGTAAAAAATCATTCATAGGACTTCCCTGGCGGTCCAGTGGTGAAGACTCCGTGCTTCCACTGCAGGGGTCACGGTTTCGACCCTTGGTCGGGGAACTAAGATCCCGCATGCTGTGAGGCACAGCCAAAAAGAAAAGCAAAATGTCATTCACCCAAAAGATAGTTGGTGCCCACTATATCCAGAGCCATACCGAGACTATTTGGGCTACAGGATCGTTTCCAGAGTGCCATGTATTGTAACATCTAGGGGGACGGGTTCTGGATTCTGACCTGGTTTTAAATCCTGACTCTTCCATTAGCTAGCTATGTAACTTTGGAAGCAAGTGCCTGTTGGTCTCTGTGCCTCAGTCCCCTCCTCGGTGGAGTGGGTTTCAGGATTACAGCACCTAGCTCATAGGGTCTGCTTGGAGGATTCGGGATAACATGTTTGAAACACACGTAATAAATGTTCAGTAAATGTTCACTATTGTTATGTAGCCTGGTTGTGTTGCATCCTCTTTGACAAACCCCATGCTCTTCATTTTCCAACCACTCAGTTACCTTAAACAGACCCCAAGTTACCTCAGGGCTGAGAAGCAGCTACTCTTGGATTTTCCTGGTTAGCCAGCTGGAGGGGGTTTCCAGGCTCTCAGGATCTTCTTGCCTTTCTAGCTTCATCAAAACCATTACATTCTCAGCTGAGAGGACTCTGACCCTTGTTATTGGGTTCTGTGGGTGAGGGAGCAAGAGAACCACCCTGTGGCGATGGCCTTGGGATCTGTCCTCCTGTCCTTTCCTTTTGAGCTGTAGGTGTAACTGTGGGTGATGAGATTCATTTAGCTCCACCACGGGCAGCCCCAGGGGTCCTGCTGTATTAACCTTCATCTACATTCAGGAGTAACATCCCTACCAAGGCCTTGGTGTAAGTCATTTTTGGGAGACTTTGTGACTCCATGTGCATCTAGTACCTAGATGTGTTTGGATGGTTTCCCGGTTTCTGTGGAATTTTGAAACTTGGAGACCCAAGTATTGATTCACTGAGGGAAACTTTCCCCTCTCTGGAGTGAAGTTGTGGAGCTTCTCTGGAGACTCATTACAACATTGTGCTAATAAGGCCCCAGCCACCTCAAATCCCTTGGCTGTAGATTGCTCTAACTTTGAAGCTGGAAGTTTGCCCTTTTATCCCCCAGTTGCAGAGCATAGCAACTTTGGGCAAGTTTAGTGAGTCTGGTTGAGGGAGTGAGGGTAGAATGGCAGGCAAGGCCCTTCCAAGGGCTGGATCAGTGGGGTTATGACCATGGGCATTGTGTGGCTGTGATGGGTGGGAGTGGTCCACGTCCAGGAGCTACAGGATGATTCCTCCTGTGTCCCTTTCCTAGGAGTCTGTGTCTGCCCCTCCACCTCTTCATCCACTGTGTCCACTGAGCTTGCCCACCCAGAGTGGCCTTCTCAAAACCTGGGCCCATCTCAAGGCATGGGCCTCCACACCTACAGCCTCTCTCTGCTCAATGTCACCTCTTTAGATGGGCTTTTCCTGTCCATCATGTGTAAAACAGAGTCCCTTCTTATCCTTCCCTGTCCCCTTACTATGCTTATTTACTTTTATTCGTAACACTACCTGACATTTTATTTACATATTTATATTTGTCTGTCTTCCCTACTAGAAGGAAAACTCTATGAGGGCAGAGACTGGTGTGTTCATTGCTGTGTACTCTATACTTAGAACAGGCTTGGCACAGAAGAGGTGCTGAATAAGCATTTTTAAATGAAAACAAGAAAGCAAAACACCTCTTTCCCAGAGGAGTCTTTGCACAGAGGAGAGTAGCTGTGGGATCTGGGCAGAAGAGGAGCTGTGCATTTCTTGCAGCATTTTTCAGGGGTTTTGGGTGTGAGATGCAGGAGTACCTTTTGAGAAGGGGATGTGAGGCATGAGAAAACCAAGGGTGAATCATTTAGAACAATTCTCATCCTCTTGGGATGATTGGTCTCTCTCTGAGAATGATATCAGTTGACTCGAGATGTCTTCAGCACCTTTGATTACTCCACTGAGGTGAGCGTAATATGTTCTCATCCTTGGACCTCAGGAATGGGACCTAAAGTAATTTGAAGTATGGAGGATGAATACTCAAAAATATAGGCTTGCTTCCAGCCAGACAGGACCATTCCTTGTTTAAAGCACAGTTACCCTTGGTCTTCCTGCTTTCTCTCCTGCCATTTCTCCTAACAGGAGTGCTCTTCTGCTGCTCCCCCTTTCCAACTGCTACCTCCTCTTCTAGATCAGGTTCAGATTCTTCTTTTGTGAAGCCTTCCCAGCCATCATGGGGAAGAGCAACCTTTCCTTCCTCTAAACGCCTTTAAGTCTTACTGTTCATGCTTTCATGACATTTGGCCATAAATGATTTGGGGGCAACTCAAGTACTAACTAACTAACTAACCAACTAACTAACTCTGAAGTCTTTGGCTTCTCTAGTCTCCAAAGGTCATCCTTCCCTTCAGTGTTTAAAATCACAAAAGTCCAAGCTCGGATCCTGATCCACCACTGAAAGTTCAGCTGTAGACTGGTTCCCCACCCATGTAATTCCCAGAGGATGCTTACATTTTCTGCCTAGCCCTGCTGGTTCTGGAGTTCTGCGGGACCTCTGGCCATCTTGTGACCAGCTTCTCCAACTGCTACTGCTTTCCCCATACCTCCTCACCCCAAGTACAGACGAAGACCCCTGTATTATCTGTCCAAGCACATCACAGACCAGCACGTACTGAAGCTTTGGGATAATAGGAAGGACTTCTAGTATAGGAAAGAGGGAGGAAAACCCCATAAAACGAGATACAGGAAATTATTATTCTTGGAGCCCACCAGCCATATATACCTAGACAGGGTTTTTGGGTTTTTTTTCTTTTACACTTTCCTCATCCCTCATTCTGCTGCCACATGGCCACAAAACCTACCTTCTGCCATGTAGTACCCTTGCCTATATCTCTCTCTGCTCCTTTCATCCCTGGGTGCAGGACCCTGATCTTTGAGACCCAGCAAGAAGGGAAAACCCCATTTTAGCCCCAGGCTCACTTCTCAGGACACATCTTTTTCTGCAGAGATGGATCTCACTCCATAATGCAAGCCATTTCAATGTCATGAAAGAGAGCAGTGTACCTCTCTCTGTCTTAACCATTGAAGACACTATTTTGGCTTTGCTGCCATAAAGCCATTGGAATGTTTTCCCAAACAAACATAGTCTGTTCCCCAAATTGAATCTGAAAATTGCTGATAAGTTTAAAATAACTTATTCTGGCTTTTAGACATTACATTTTCAAAAATTGGGGGGTTCAATCACATTAGAACACTTCATCACACATATTTTTTTCTTTAAATATGTTTTCTATCTTACAGAAATCAGCAGAATGGTAAAGCATCTAGGAGGAGATTGGTGGTGCCGTCTAAGGGAAGACCAGGGGAGTCTGTCCCTCCCTTCTGAAGCTCCGAGAGTGTCTGGAGGTGGGTGTGTTGTGTTTCAAGAGAGTCACACTAACAAAAATGTACTTAGGAGTGATGAGCATTTCAGAATGACATTTGGTTAATTTGCATGAGAGATAGGACTGCTAACCAGAAATGCTCTGCCCAGTCTATTCCCTCCCTCAGCCCTATTCCTCCCAGTCAGAACCACTCCCTGAGATCTCACTGACCCTTTGTAAAAGAAAAGTGTGTTCTTCCATCTCAGTCAGTGGATGTCTAGCATGGAGAAGTCTCGGGAAGCAAGCAGTACCTCAGAAAGAGTTAAAAATTCCTCCCTAGTCATTCTGCCTGTCAGGGAGTAGGCAGGGGCCTGCTCACTGGATGAGCCCAGAGTCATCCAAAAGAGCAGGGGCGGCCGGCCACTCCCTGGGTAAACTCATCCTTCCTGGGAACAGAGCCCCTGGGAACTGAGATAATGGCAATCATGAGGTGTGCTCCCCTCCTCCACCGCTAGGGGTCTGCCATGAGCTGGCGAGGAAGGCAAGTCATGGACACAGTAAAAGGTGAGAGACACCGGGAGGTACTCTAAGTGGTTGATTACTTACAAAGAACCTAGAAATGAGGGAAATGGATGGTTCCAATCAGTGGTTCTTAACATTTTTGAGTCACAAAGTCATATGAGAATTTGACTCTTCCCATCCTCACCCTAATCTACATAGACACACCATTTCACATATATTTCAAGGGTTTTCCCAGAATACCCTGGAGTTCATCTGTGGACCTTCTGCTCAAAACCGTAAACCCCTGGAGGGCAAGGACTGGGCTTGTTCGCTGATGTGTGTCCAGTGCCTACCTGAAGTGTCCAAGATGAAGGAAGTGTCAGTAAATGTTGAGAGCTAAAAGGCAAAAGCAAACCTGCGCTTGCCTAGCAGAAGCCAGGCCAGGGTGTGCAAACACCAGTGGCATCAGTGCCATGAGGGGCTTTGATGGTGACATCCCTGTCACTATTCTTCTTGACATTTAAAGCCAGGGCTGCTGAACTGTGAACTCTTCACTCTTCTGACCCTCTGGTCCTGACCTAGTGTGGTGACCTGAGACATGTACGGTCAATGATGGTCTGGAGAAGAGATAAGTGACATTTTGAGGATTCTCACACTGCTACCTGGTTTTTGCAATGGTTTTGATATCAGTTTATTCTAAAGGCTTCTTTGAAGTCATCATTCAGCTGCATTTACTGAGCATCTCAGGGTCTACTGTGTTTCAGGAGGGTGCTTGATAAATGCTGAGGACTGAATCACCATAACACCTGGTCTGGGTCACTTCAAAGTCCTCTGCTACTGCCAGCGAGGGAACAAGAGGAGCCACTGTAACCACTACCACTTTCAGAAACTCCTACATCACTGGTCTGCTATGAGCCATGCTGAACACAGTCAAGTTGCTCATAGAACCTACTCCTAGGCCAGTTAAGTTCAGAAAGGGATGGGGCTCCATAGTAAAGAGAACTGAGCCCCAAAATATCAGAAGCTTTAATGAAAAAGGTCTATCAATTCAGAAGCCCCAAAACTCACAGATTCTTCCAAAGAACTGCCAGAATGGAAGACACACAGTGCACCAAAGATTTGGTGCTGAGCATAGCCCACCAGTTCACACACTTTCTTCCCTGTGGTAAGCTCCCTGTTAGCAATTCCATAGTCCTTTCCTGAAACTTATCCTCAGGCTGGGGCCACTGTCAGATCTATTTTTATGTCCTTAAATCTACAAGAAGATTAGAGTTTCAGTCCCTTTGAACCCCTGGGAGAGTCCTCACTTTATATGCAAATTGGTATATGCAAATAGATATGAGGGGGCACTTCTTAGCTCTGCTGCAGCATTCAAGGCACTAATTAACATAAGTGGATGCTCTGGGGTGTGACCTTAGGAAGCATGTCAATGGTGCCAGGTGGAGGATGGATGTTATCTGCTCTTCCCAGATGTACTGGAACCCCAACTCGTGCCCAGCCAAGATATGCTGCTGGTCTAGCTTAGAAACAGACATTTTGCCTTATTTCTGTAAATGACTAATGACTTTCTCTTCATTCTTGTTCTTCATAACCTCTCCATATATTTGGCACTGTTGACGCTCTTGCCATCTTGGATTTCTCCTCCCCTGCTTCTTAACCCTGCACGGTTCTGTTTCTGTTGGTTTGCTTTCTGACTATTCCTCTTGTTCCCCATGGTGATTTAACCAAGGGCTTTCCCCGAAGCTCCACCCTTTTTTCCTTCTCTACATAAACTTCTCCAGCGTGTACGGTTTCATATCCACTTGCTTGCTTGCTCACTCACTCACTGAGCCTCTCTCACGTCCCTTATGTGGTACTAGGCTTAGAGAACACCAAGATGAATAAAATCTAGTTTCTGCCTTCAGGGAGTCATATAATTGATAAGTGGTAACTTGACCCAGTGCCTGGCTCCTTCTACTCACATTCCAGTGCTCATTGCCCTCTGTCTCAAGACTGTAAGTTATTTATGCATGCTCAGTCTTAATCTCACATGGCTCCTTTGCCTGTAACTCCAGCTTTCATTGATTTTCTTCTCCAACAAACTGCTCTAGTCAGGAGAGCTGTTTGGTTTTTTTTTTAATTGAAGTATATTTGATTTACAATGTTGTGTTAATTTCTGCTGTACAGCAAAGTGATTCAGTTATAGACATTATTTTTTATATTCCTTTCCATTATGGTTTATCACAGGATGTTGAATATAGTTCCCTGTGCTATACAGTAAGACCTTGTTGTTTATCCATTTTTTAAAATGTATGTATCTATTTATTTATCTATCTATTTTTTGTGGCTGTGTCGGGTCTTAGTTGGGCATGTGGGATCTTTTGTTGTGGCGTGACGGCTTTTCATTGTGGCATGCGGGCTTCTCTCTAGTTGTGGCATTCGGGCTCCAGAGCATGTGGGCTCTGTAGTTGGGGTGCGCAGGCTTAGTTGCCCCGCAGCATGTGGGATCTTAGTTCCCCAACCAGGGCTCGAACCCACGTCCCCTGTATTAGAAGGCAGATTCTTAACCACTGGACCCCCAGGGAAGTCCCTCCATTTTATATATACTAGTTTGCACCTGTTAACCCCAAACTCCCAATCCATCCGACCCCCACCCCACCTCCCCCTTGGCAACCACAGATCTGTTCTCTATGTCTGTGAGTCTGTTTCTGTTTCATAGATAAGTTCATTTGTGTCATATTTTAGATTCTATATATAAGTGATATCATATGGTATTTGTCTTTCTCTTTCTGACTTACTTCACTTAGTATCATAATATTAGGTCCGATCATGTTGCTACAAATGGCATTATTTTGTTCTTTTTTATGGCTGAGTAGTATTCCATTGTATATCTTTTTTATCCATTTATCTGTCGATGGACATTTAGGTTGATTCCATGTCTTGGCTATTGTGAATAGTGCTGCTATGAACGTAGGGGTGCATGTATTTATTTATTTATTTATTTGGCTGTGCTGGGTCTCAGTTGCGGCACGCGGATCTTCATTGTGTTTTGTGGGATCTTTAGTTGTGGCATGCGGGATATTTAGTTGCAACATTTGAACTGTTAGTTGCGGCATGTGGGATCTAGTTCCCTGACCAGGGGTTGAACCCAGGCCCCCTGCATTGGGAGCATGGAGTCTTAGCCACTGGACCACCAGGGAAGTCCCGCATGTACCTTTTAGAATTACAGTTTTGTCTGGATATCTACCCAGGAGTGGGATTGCTGGATCATATGGCAACTCTATTTTTAGTTTTCTGAGGAACCTCCATACTGTTTTCCATAGTAGCTGCACCAACTTACATTCCCACCAGTGGTGTATGAGGGTTCCCTTTTAGGAGAGCTGGGTTTTATTCCTTCAACAGTTTTATTACCTTGGGTAACTCAGTTGACCTGTATTGGATTTAATATCTCTATCTGCGGAATGAGAAGGTTGTAGCACCGGGATTCTTTCATCTCCAAAATTCTATGATCATTTACAATTGGAGGGAGGTAGTGGCTAATACAAAACAGCAATTATATAGTGAAGCTAATGCTTTTTAAAAAAAACTTATGAGCAGCATTCTCATGGGGATTGCTAGCACATCATAAAATTGTTTGCTGGGTCTGGAAAATATTTGTCCTTGTCACTTATTATAATTAGCCAGTCGCAAGAGCTATTAACATGTTCAGGTAAGCGGAAGGCAGGCATGGGAGTGGCTGAAGTTAAAGCAGGATTAGGTGGCCGCCTTAAACTTTCTGGAAGGATTGTCCTCATATAGGTACTGTTCTGAGATCATTGATCTTTATAGTAAGTTTGTGCCTTTATCCGTAAATTTATACATGTTATTCATATTAAATAAATTTCTATAGAGTAAGAGTTCTGCTTCAGATCTTATAAAAAAACTTCCTGATTAGAAAAATGATATTATTTCCTTAGTCATTGATACTTTGAATTAAAAAAAACAGATCCATTCAAGCTAGTTGACTCAAGGGGTATGTGTACATATGTGAAAGGATGAACTATTAAATGGCAATGAAAATGGATCACACGCAGCACAGTTGAACTTCCCAAATGTAAGACTGAGCAAAAGATGCCAGACACAAAACAACACATACTATATGGATCCATTTATATGAATTTCAAAAACAGGCAAAACTAACCCATGATGTTAGAAATCAGGATAAAGGTTACCTTTGGGATGGAGGAAAGGAGTTAGAGAGGGACTTCTGGGGCACTATCTCATGACCTAGGTGGTGGTTACACCGGTGTGTTCACTTTATGATAATTCATTGAGCTTGTGAGTTGTGTGCTTGTCTGTGTATGTGTTATATTTAAATTTAAAAAGTTAGGACTTCCTTGGTGGCACAGTGGTTAAGAATCCACCTGCCGATGCAGGGGACATGAGTTTGATCCCTGGTCCGGAAAGGTCCCAAATGCTGCAGAGCAACTAAGCCCGTGCGCCACAGCTACTGAGCCTGCGCTCTAGGTCCCGCGAGCCACAACTACTGAGCCCACGTGCTGCAGCTACTGAAGCACACACCCC